GAAGAATAAGCCTGTGATCTATTCTAAAAATTTGGCCGTGAAAATCTTACAAATAGTAGCAGAACACTGTCTGATATAGTGTCAGAAGACAAACCCCTCAGGTTGGAAGGCATTCAAGTATGCAAATGAGGAAGAGTTGTCTCCTCAAAGTAGACTCGACCTTATTGTTGTAGATGGAATACAGCTTCTGGAACCTCCATTTGCTGATAACTCAAAATGAGAAAAGCTGTAAATATCCATAATAATCAGAATGTGGAGAGTATGAAGTCTGAATCTAGGAAAGTTGGAAGCTGTCAAAAATGAACTGGAATGCTTGATGACCGGTATCCTAGGTGGAAATGGTCTGGTACTGCCCATTCTGAATCAGATCATCATATGTTTTACTAGGCCAGGAAAGACAAATTGAAGAGGAATGGCATGGCATCTCATTCGTTGTCAAATACAACATTTCAAGATCTATCCTGAATTACACACTGTCAGTGGTAGGATAATGTACACATATTTACAAGGAGACCAGTGAATACACTCTTAATTCAAATTTATGTACCAACTACTAATGAAAAAACTAAAGATTTTTACTGATTTCTGCAGAGTAAAGTTGATCAAACATGCAATCAAGATGCAATGGTAATTACTACTGATTGGAATGCAAAAGCTGGAAACAAACAAGAAGGACTGATAGTTGGAAATTATGGTCGTGGTAGTAGAAATGATGCCAGAGATCACATGACAGAAATTCTAAAGACAAACAGTAATCCACTGGAAATAGCCCTAAATCAACATCATAAATGGCAACTGTACTTGGACCTCACTAGATGGAATACAGAGGACTCAAACTGACTACATCTGTGGAAAGAGATGATGGAGAAGTACAGTGTTGTCAGTCAAAACAAGGCCAGGTGCTGACTGGACCAGATAGATCCTCAATGGTTCATATGTAAGTTCCAGTGGAAGCTGAAGGAAATGAAAGCAAGTCCACGACAGTCAAAATCCAACCTTCAGGATATCCTGCCTAAACTTAGAGACCAACAGAAGTACAGATGTGACTCACTGGACACTAATGTCCAAAGACTAGAAGAGTTGTAGATGACATCACCTAGGAAGAAAGCAAAAAGGACATTAAAAAGACAGGAAAGAAAGAAAAGACCAAAATGAATCTAAGAAGAGACCCAGAAACTTGCTCTTGGCCATACAGTGGTGAAAGCAAATGAAAGAAATGATTAAGTAAAAGAGTTATAAAGTATTATAATGAAATATGCTAAACCCTGAGTTACAAAACCAAAGGGAAGAACATGCTGAGTATTTCTCAAGCTGAAAGAACTGAAGAGAAAAACTGTAATATTCAACAGTGAAAGTTGTAATATTCATGGTAAAATGTTGAACGATGCTGGAATCATCCAAAGAAGATGGAAGGAATACACAAGAGTCACTGTATCAAAAGAAATTGGTTGAAATTCAGCCATTTCAGGAGATAGCAGATGATCAAAAACTGATGGTATTGAAGAAAGAAGGCCAAGCAGCACTGAAGGGACTGGCGAAAAACCAATGGAGATGTTTCAACAAACAGATGCAATGCTGGAAGCACTTACTCATCTGTGTCGAGAAACTTGGAAGCAGTAACCAACTGGAAGAGACTCACATTTGTGCCCATTCCAAAGAAAGGTTATCTAATAGAATGCAGAAATTAAAAAAAAAACTATCATTAATATTATGGTGGTTACCTGTTGTGCAGTTGGTCCCGACCCTTCGTAGGGTTTCCAAGGCTGTAAATCTTTACGGGAGCAGACAGCCTCATCTTTCTCCTGCAGAACCGCTAGGTAGTTTTGAACTGCTGATCTTGAGATTAGCAGCTTGATTCATAACCTCTACACTACCAGAACTTCTTATACAAGTAAAATTTTGCTGAGGATAATTTTTAAATGGTCATATTACTTTGACAGGGAACTGCCAGAAATTCAATCGAGATTCAGAAGAGGATAAAGAACAAAACTATTGTTGCTGATGTAAGATACATTTTGGTTGAAAGCAGAGACCAGAAGAAAGGTGTTTTACTGACTATGCAAAGATATCTGACTGTGTGGGCCATAACAAATAATGGACAATGTAGAGAAGAATGGAAATTCCATACACTGTAGGAATCCTTGTGTGGTGCTGTAGGTTAATGTGCTAGACTGCAAAGTTGGTTTGAACCACAAGATGGGTGGTTCAAGCTCACCAGCGGATCCTTAGAAACCCTATATAGGGTCACCATGAGTAGGAACCGACTCAATGGCACTTAACAACAACAACAATTGTACTCATAAGGAACCTGTACATAGACCTAAAGGCAATCAGGCAGTCATTCAAACAGAACAAAGGAATAATGTGTGGTTTAAGATCAAGAAACATGTACTACAAGGTTATATCCTTTCACTATATTTATTCAATCCTTATGTTGAGCAAATAATCCAAGAAGCTGGACTACTTAAAGAACACAGCACCAGGTTTAGAGGAAGACTCATTAATAACCTTCAATATACAGATGACACAACCTTGCTTGCTGAAAGCAAAAAAGACCTGAAGCACTTTGATGCCGATAAACTATTCAGTCTGGATTACAGTTCAACATAAAGAGAACAGAAATGCTCTGATGCACTGGAGCCTGAGAAGCTGCATGAAAAGCAGAGAAAAGATGAAGCCGATTTCATTTGACTTGGACACACAATCAATGCTCATGGAAGCAGCAGTGAAGAAATCTAAGGCCATTTGCATTGGGCAAATGCCTCAAAAAACCTGTTTAAAATATTAAGTAAAAGTAAAGTTATCACTTTGAGGACTAAAGTGTGCCCGAGTCAAGCCAAAGTATTTTCAATAGCCTCTTATGTATATGAAAGTTGGACAATAAATAAGGAAGACTGAACAAGAATTGACTGATGCATTTGAATGACGGTGTTGGCAAGTAATATAGAATTACCATGGATTGTCAGAAAAATGAATGACTTTGTCTTGGAAGAAGTATAATCAGAAGATCCTTAGAAGCGAGAATGGTAAGACTTAGTCTCATGTACTTCTGACATGTTATCAGGAGTGACCATTCTTGAAGAAGGACATTATGTTTGGTAAAGTAGATGGTATATGAAAAAGAAGCTCCCCAAGTAGATGAATTTATATAATGGGCTTAAACACGGCACTGACTGTGAGGATGGCGCAGGACCAGGCAGGCAGGGTTTGTTCTGTTCTCTTGTACCTAATGTTGCTATGAGTTAGAGCCAACTCAATGGTACCTAACTACAACAACCACATATTTAAGAAGCACAGCACTTTACGTAGTCATACTTATTAGGCCTAGGATGTTAGCCAAGTAGCAAAGCCAAATAAAACTAAAATAAAGAATGAGAGAAATGTAATTAATCACTGTGATTTTGAACACATGGTTTTACCATTTTGGTCTGTTGCTTCACTTGTACAACAAAAGTTGGACTAAATGATCTTCCAAGTGCCTTTCAACTTTAGCATCTTACGGCACAACAGAAATTTTGAAGGTCTCTGACAATCAGCAAATATGTATCAAAAATATTTGAAACTCAGGACTGAAGTGAACTGTTAGTTTACTTAATTGTACAAGATTCTTTTCAAAGTCTGATATGATTTTTTCAGATTTTATTTTCGCTCATCAAAAAAGAAAAAAAAAATTCTGTCAGGTAACAGTAAAAGTTTAATCGCCTTCTTTAAAAGAAAGATTTTTATTATAAATTATTTTTTCTCAATTGCCATCAATTCATATAGTTTCACTCCTATAGATTCATACAGTGTTCTACTTCTGAAGAAGCTCTTTCTTATGAACATCTATGAAGCCTCAGCATTGATTTTTGTAAGGCAGAGAACAACTTTCACTCACAACAGCAGGGAGTAATACAAATTCTCAAGATAAATACCAATTATACAGCATTCACAGCACGTTAAAGAAAAGAACTGACCTTTTGCAGTAACAACTAATGTGTTCTGTGCTTTGAAGTTCAAGGTCTCAAGGTAAAGGACTGTTTATCTATTAGCATTAAGCATGCAAGGGAAAGTTCTGTAAATTCTAGTCATTATTATAAAAAGAGGAAACTGCATGTAACTATGTTGTGACTGATTACCTTGATAGCACTGAAGCTATTTTGAAATATTGTCACAAAGATAATGTAATTAGCATTTGCAGCACATTGTATTTCATAGTTAATCCTGGTGTGGTGCTGTAGTTAAGCACTGGACTGCTAACCTCAAGGTCAGCAGTTCAAACCCACCAGCTGCTCCTTGAACACCCTATACAGGGTTGTAGAATAGACTTGACAGCACTTAACAACAACATGTTGCATAGAGTACTTTTTGATCCTCATAATAATCCTAGGAGAAAGTAAAGACATTATCTGTACTCAACAGATGAAGAAGCTTAGATGTGTATTTCAAATCACAGAGTTTAAGTGGTAGAGTTAGAATTAGAACTATTATCATATCTTATTAAATTATAGATAACCAGACTCCAGCATATAGTGAATACTTAATAAACATGTGGCAAATGAATTTATTGACCATCATAGTGCTGTAGGATAAGCAATGGAGTGCTAACCACAGGGTCAGCAGTTCAGCCTACCAGCCACTCCCCAGAAGAAAGATGAGGCTTTCTGCTCTTGTAAAGATTTACAGCCCTGAAAACATTATACAAAGTCACTATGAATTAAAACCAGCTCAATGGCACTTAACATCAGCAACAATCATCAGTGTTGCTTAACTGACATCATTCAGATTATCAGAGCTTCTGGTTGAGAATATAAGCAGACTTTTTTTTTTTTTAATCTCCCAACATTTCTTCTATATTTTCCAAGGGAATGCATGTAAAATCACCTTATTAAATATAGCACAGGCAAAGAAAATATTAACTTATATATATATATATATATATGAAAGCAATTAGCATGAAGTGAATACTCAACTGCTGTTAAAATTATGATACTGATTTTAAATCATCAAAAGTGATTTACCTGTGGTGCAAGTAGTGGGAGCCTAATATAAGCCAAAAGTTTACTGAGATCCTTACGTCTCTGTTCCAAATCATGACGGACCCAAGTAAGAAGCGCATTCAATATGGTTTCCTCATTAGGGATGTTCATGTCATCACTGGCCAGGAGCTTGGCAATTTCGCTGGCTGGTAACAATACAAATTCCTGGTTTCTAATTACTTCCATGAAATGCTCCTAGAGAAAGAATAGCATATAAAAAAGTCTTCTTGGCAATCTAAGTTAATTCAAAGGAAACTAAAATATTTTTTAATAAGATGCCAAAGCACAATTTATACTTCATTATTGCTCACTAAGAAAGAAACAGTAAGCATATAGCATTTAAAATACAATTATACTGTTAAGCTTTTTACTTCTATATAAGTAGAATTAAAGGGTTGTACAGCCTCAGAAACCTTCTAAAAGATCGCTATGAGTTGGAACCAACTCCACAGCACACCACCACCACCACAGATTCATACATTTAAAAATGGATTTTGGGACATTTAGATATTGCTTTGCACAAGTTAGAGAATAGTTTTTTCAAGTTGTGAAGGAAGACAGGAAAATGACTTAGACACTGAGGTAAAATATTCTAATCTCAGGAGCTACTTTGGATTTGTGGTTGCTGAAGAATCTGGCTAACAGTGGAGTTCAATACCTGGGTGAAACTTGACGTAATTTCTTTTGTTCTGAAATGGCCTTCTAGCCTGCCAGATTTTGAAGACCATTCAGAACAAGACATCTTCTCAGGAGGCACATATTCCCTACGACTACTCTAGAACTAAGGAGCCCTGGTAGTGTAGTGGATGGTCAGCTGAGCTGCTAATCACAAGGTCAGTACTTCGAATCTACCAGTTGCTCCTTGAAAGAAAGATGAAGCTTTCTGTTCCCTTAAACTTTCAGTCTCAGAAAGGCGATATAGGGTCACTATGAATCAGAACTGACATGGTGGCATACCACCACCACCACCCAACACTTTATAACCAAACTGATTTTTAAAAGTATTTTAATGTTATTTAAAAGACTACTAGGATTTTAGGGCTATTTGGATAATTTTTAACTCTTCTAACCTGATTTGTGTACAAACCACTTTGGTCTCACAGGACAAAGAACCAAATGAAAATGGTAGGACTATTATGGACTTCTGGTGTGGTACTTTAGGATCAGCACTGGACTGTGAACCACAAGGTCAGCAATACAAACCTATCAGCTAGCTGTTCCTCAGAAACCCTATACACAGCTGTTATGAGTTGGAAGAAAACTAGACAGCACTTAACAACAACAACAAAATGGACTGGGACTCTAGGCCCTTAGCCTGAAGATGACTCCGTCCTGGCCTCAGACAAGAATAAACTCCCCAAAATTTGAAATGGGAAATAGACATTCCCTTAAGTTTGAGACAAAGACTTTTTACAAGGCTATTTTAGTAAATCATCTGAAGAGAGAAGAAAATTTACTCTTTGCTGTGCAAGAGTATAAATTTTGATGCACAGATAAATAACACAGTTATAATATAAATACAAATGCTAGAAATATTCTTCTTAATGTTTTTTCTTCTACCACTCATCTGTCAGTTTCTCGCCAATATGGTGGCTTGCATGTTGCTATGATTCTAGAAGCTGTGCCACCAGTATTTTAAATACCAGCAGGGTCACCCACGGTGGACAGGTTTCAGCTGAGCTTCCAGACAAAGATAAACTAGGAAGAAGGAGAGATGGACTACTTTCAAATATTTTTTAGTCACTGAAAACCTTACAAATAGCAGTGGAACATTGTTAGCACCAAAATATTGAATGTTGAAATGTGATGAAGATGGCCAGAATATTGTCAGATATAGTGCCAGAAGATGAACCCCTCAGGTTAGAAGGCACTCAAAATGCGACTTGAGAAGAGCTGCCTCTTCAAAGTAGAGTTGACTGTGATGATGTAAATGGAGTAAAGCCTTCACACCTTCATTTGCTTATGAGGCAAAACTCAAAATGAAGAGAAACAGCTGTAAATATCCATCCATTAATAATCAGAACAAGGAATGAATCTAGGAAAATTAGAAATTGTAAAAAATCAAATGGAATGCATAAACATCAATATCCTAAGCATTAGTGAGCTGAAATGGACTGGTATTGGCCATTCTGAACCTGACAATCACAGGGTTTACCAGTCTGGAAATGACAAATTGAAGAGGAATGGTGTCACACTCATACCAAAAGAACATTATCAAGATCTGTCTTGAAGTACAATGCTATCTGTGACAGGGTAATATCTATACACTTATAAGAAAGACCTGTTAATACCACTATTATTCAAATTTACGTACCAACCACTAAAGCCAGTAAGGATGAAAATGAAGAATTTTACCAACATCTTCAGTCTGAAATTGATCAAACATGCAACCAAGATACATAATTACTGATGCATGGAATGCAAAGGTTGGAAATAAAGATCAGTAGTTGGAAAACATGGCCTTGGTGACAGAAATGATGCTAGAGATTGCATGCTATAATTTTGCCAAACAATTGACTTTCTCACTGCAAAACAACATAAAATATGACTATACACATAGACCTTGCCAGATGGACCTCACCAGAATACACAGAAATCGAATTGGCTACGTATGTGGAAAGAAATGGCGGAAAAACTCCATATCATCAGCTCAAATAAGGCCAGGGGCAGATTGTGAAACAGACCATCAATTGCTCATATGCAAGTTCAGTCTGAAGCTGACGAAAATTAAAACAAGCTCACAAGAGCCAAAATATGACCCTGAACATATCCCAGCTGAATTTACAGATCATTTGAAGAACAGATTTGATGCATTAGACACTAAAGACCGAAGACCAGAAAAGTTGTGGGATGATATCAAGAACGTCATACAGGAACAAAGCAAAAAGGTCATTAAGACAAAAAAAGAGAAAAAGACCAAAATGGATGTCAGAAGAGACTCTGAGACTTGCTCTCCAACACAGAGATGCTGAAGCAAATGGAAGAAATGAAAAAGTAAAAGAGATGAATAGAAAATTTCAATGACCAGTTCGAGAAGACAATGTCAAATATTACAATGAAGTGTTGTTCAAAGACCTAGAGTTAGAAAGCCTGAAGGGAAGACCATGTTCAGCATTTTTCAAACTGAGGGAACTGAAGAAAAATTCAAGCCTTGACTTGAAATATTGAAGGATTCTATAGGCAAAATATTGAACGTTGCAGAAAGCATCAGAAGATGGAAGGAATACACAGAGTCACTGTACCAAAAAGAATGGTCGAGATTCAACCTCTTCAACAGGTAGCATATGATCAAGAGCCAATGATATTGAAGGAAGAAGTCCAAGGTGTACTGAAGGCATTGGCAAAGAACAAGGCACTGGGAATTGATGTAATATAAATTGATAATCTTTCAGCAAACTGATGCAGCACTGGAGGCACTTACTCATCTATGCCAAGAAATTTCGAAGACAGCTACCTGGCCAACTGACTGGAAGAAATCTATATTTGTGCCCATTCTAAAGAGTGATAACCCAATGGAATGTGGAAATCATTGGACAATATCATTAACATTGCATGCAAGTAAAATTTTCTTAAAGATAATACAAAAGCAGCTGCCATCATACATCGATAGAGAACTCCCAGAGGTTTAAGCTGGATTCAGAAGTGGACAGGAATAAGAGATGTCACTGCTTATGTCAGATGGTTCTTGGCTAAAAGCAGAGAATACCAGAAAGATGTTGTTGACCTGTGCTTTATTGACTATGCAAAGGTTTTCAATTGTGTGGATCATTATAGACTACGGACAATACTGCAGAGAATGAGTATTCTGGAACACTTCATTGTGCTAATAAGAAACCTGTACATAGACCAAACGGCAGTTGTTTGAACAGAACAAGGGAACATCAATGGTTTAAAATTAGGAAGGTGTTCACCAGGGTTATATCCTTTCACCGTACTTATTCAATCTGCATGTTGTTGTTGTTGTTAAGTGCCTTCGAGTCGGTTCCGACTCATAGCGACCCTGTACAGGGTTTCCGAGGGTGTAAATCTTTACGGGAGTAGAAAGCCTCATCTTTCTCCTGTGGAGCGGCTGGTAGTTTCGAACCGCTGACCTTAAGGTTCACAGCCCAATTTGTAACCACTACGCTACCAGAGCTCCTTATTCAATCTGCATACTGAGCAAATAATCTGAAAGTTGGATTATATGAAGAACAACATGGCATCAGGATTGGAGGAAGACTCATTAACAACTTGAGATATGCAATAATACAACCCTGCTTTTTGAAAGTGAAGAGGACTTACAATACTTAATGATGACAATCAAAGACCACAGCCTTCGGTATGGGTTGTACTTCAATGTAAAGAAAACAAATATCCTCTACCACTGGACCAATAAACTTCCATATAAATGGAGAAAAGATTGAAGTTGTCAAAGACTTCATTTTGCTTGGCTCCACTAACACTCGTGGAAGCAGCAGTCAAGAAATCAAATGATGTACTGCATTAGGCAAATCTGCTACACAAGATCTCTTTAAAGTATTTAAAAGCAAAGATGTCAGTTTGAGGATTCAGATGCGCCTGACTCAAGCCATTTTCAATACCCTCATACGCATGTGAAAGTTGGACAGTGAACAAAGTAGACTGTAGAAGAATTGATGCATTTGAATTAGGGTGTAGGAGGCGAATATTAAAAGTACCATGGACTGCCAAAAGAACAAACAAATCTGTGTTGGAAGAAGTACAGCCAGAATGCTCCTTGGAAGCCAGGATGGTGGAGACTTCATCTATCATACTTTGGACATATTATTAGGAGGGACCAGCCCCTAGAGAAGGATATCATGTTTGGTAAAGTAGAGGGTAGGAGAAAAAGAGGAAGACCCCTCAATGAGATGGACTGGCACAGTGGCAGTAGCAATGGGCTCAAATATAGCAATGGTTGAGGACAGCACAGGACCAGGCAATGTTTCGTTCTGTTGTGCAGAGGGTCACTATGAGTTGGTTCTGACTTGGTGTTACCTAACAACAACATTTTTCTTATATTTTTTAAGGTACCATCACTGTCTCAACATGCAGAATCTTAGTAAAATACCTAAGGCAGTTTTAATTTGAACAGTTTTTGTTGGTGTTCAGTGCGGCTGAGTCAGTTCTGACTCATAACAACCTTGTACAGGGTTTCCGAGGAATGGCTAGTGAGTTTGAACCACTGACCTTGCAGT